TGCACTAGCTATTGCCCTTCAGCTTCCATTTACGTTTTCTGTTTATCGCGCACTAAATCCAGCTACTTTGGACACACACATTATGCGTTAAATTTAATTTCGTAAAATATTATCTCCATTATTTCGCGCGATTTAATATCTTAAAAGGGCTGTTGAGTGGATTCGGTGGCAGTATTCACCCATTTGCGGGTTTGAGGGAATCCATATAGGGAATCCTGCCTTAGTGTATTCTAAATGTTTTTAACACCCACGGATTTGTTCTGAGCTTAACTTTTTTGAGCAAAAAAACCTTCCATTTTAGGCTTGAAAATGAGCAATTTTTTCTCGTCGCTAATAATGCCACTGGATTTATTCGCTCGCCTGAAGACGGTTGGTGATGATCAATTGCCTTTGGTTAAAAACATCTGTTGGGCTTTCGCAAAAAATTGCAAAGTGAAGAACACCTCCATAATAAACCATTCAAAGACTTTTCCTGCGGTAGACTAATTTTCAGGCGATCGCTCTAACGACCATCCGAAACTTTGTGCTAAAAACATCTTTGGGCAAAACAGTGGCAAACACTCACATTGTCCTTAAATTGGCAAAGCGAAGCCAAGTGGTGCAACTCGATGAACGGACGCAAAAATTGGCATTCTGATTTTTTGGAAAAGGCGCGCAAAACACGCGCGTTGTTTCTCGCAAAAAAATTGAGCAGGAATTGTTGTCCGAAGCCCCGGCAAATACAAACTGATTCCGAAGCGGTTTGAACTTTTCATTCATCCGGACGAACTTTCGTATCTCGAACGCAGACGGAAAACGCGAAGACGCTGAAGGAAAACAGTTCTTGTTTTCCGCGTGACGTCACCGGTTCAGAGGGGCTTAAGGGAATTGCTGTTATGTAGATATATTGAAATGATGCTGCAAAGAGCACTTGTAGGAATTTCCCGACACGAAGGGGGATCTGTTTCAATAACAATGGGGGGATTTTCTGCTCGGCTTAGTTTATTCTACTAGGAGGCACCGTGAGTTGAGACGGTGGTGAGGGCATAGAGGGAATTTGTTTGAATTGCTCCTGCAGGTCTAGGAGACCTGAACAGTTTGCACCAGGCAAGGCTCGATTGTAAAATATAACGTTTTTGCTCTGGACATTCGCCCCCATATTTACGCACTCCATTGTTATAAAGCGGGAACTTTCATTATCGCTTCACGTCGAACATGTTCTATTAGTTTACTGGCGTTGACGTGTCGACTAACTTTTCCCATCCATAATGCGAGATCAAATAAATTCGTTTTGATTGATTGATTATCGCGATGGGAAAACAAGTGTTTTTCTCCTCGATCTCACGCTGAAACGTTCCTGAATTATTTACGAGTCGTTTTATATTCAAATTTCTGTTGCTTGAAGAACACTGCAATGGGGTTTCCTCGTTTAGTTTGTTCCAATATTTTTGGCACTGATGCAATAATTGTCTTTATTTTTCTGCTGAGCCGGAAGTTTGATGTAAGTAACTCATAAAATTGTTACAATTTGCGCAATTATAAATTTATTGACTTTGGTGAGTTTTTCCAAGTTTGCTTTGTGTGGGCGTACCGAAATGCCGTAAACTGGGCGGTTCTATTTTGTTCATAATAACTGCCATATTGAACAATTGAGGCAAATTATTAACCCAACTGAGAAAAGTGATTTATTCTCTCAATTACTTGCTTACAGTCATGCTTTTTGGGAAAAGTGCACAAAATCAATTTTCAAATGGAAACCTCTTGTTTATCTCTTTCAGTATTAAAAATAAGGGAAGTTTGTGTAAGGTTGTCTGTTCCAAAAGTTTCAAGTTTTCGAAATATTGTCAATTTATTATTTTTTCCTTATGGATTTTTGCTGCGGATTTTAACCTATCCCCATGACGAAACTGCAGTTACTCGAATTATTATTACTATCAGTTAAAGTGCTGGCAAGTAGAAGTGAGTGGCATTTGAAACTCGCGACCAAAACCGATATGAAAACAATAAATTGGGAATATTTCGAACATTTCTGGAATGGACAGTCTTAACAAACATATAAAATGAGATAAAATTATCAAAATTGGCGGTTTCCATTTGAAAAAAGTTGACTTCCGGAGGTTTGCTTAACTTCATTTTGAAACTAACACACTTTGAGTTTTATTTTCTTTTGCACAATCGAAAGGGTTAAACTTTTGCGGTCATCGTTTGAAACCATGCTGCTGAAAAACAACTGGATTTTCATCTAAAATGTTGCTTAAATCCGCGGGTGAACGATGTTTTGAAGCCAATTTAAATTCAACACACCAGTTAAGTCCTCTTCTAGAAAAATTGGCCTGAACATGTTCTGGGAATCTGAGTGTAACCCTCTTGAGCAATATCGAGATTAATATCCAGCCAATGTTGGCCAATTTGTCTGTTGATATTTTCGTTTAAAGAAAAATGTGCACAGATTGTTCTTGCGAATGATGGATCTTCCTGTAAACTTTGCAACACATCTTTGCAGAATCCCACCCTTGTTCTGGTTCATAATCATGCAATATATGGCCCAAATTCTGGGTTTATTGGGGTGAAACTTTTGGTTTCTTACGATATTTTCCGCTGAGTTGTTGAGGCATGAGACTCATCGGAAATTTTGGCGGATTTATCGCTAGATACGGTTAGAAGCAGATTTTCTTCCAGTCCCATTTTTCCAAGCCGACTAGTGGTGATTGGAAAGTTTTCTACCAGCAAATGTTCTTTCAGTTGCAGGAAAATTTGGCCTTTTTGAAGCACCATCTAGAATAAATTCACCTTCAGGATAACGATAGTTCCTCCATTGTTGAAAACCACTGGTCCATAATGGCAGGCACATTTTCCAAACGGCAAAACATTTGAAAGTGAAGAGTTTTTCCTTCGTTTCAAAAAGTTTCAAGCCAATGTGAGTTTAAACTGATGAGGTTTTTAGTGCACGAAGGCCTGAAAGCTCGAAAAACTCGCATCGAATCGCATATGGCAACTTTTCTTTAATTATTAGTCTGTTGTTTCGCAATGAATTGATTGAAATTAATCAACCCATCACGTCACAGTCAAACGCTTCTATTAAGATATTTAATCAGTTGAAAGATGAGGACACGAACTCGTGCGTGCATATATAAGTTGAACATTTTTAGGAGAATGTTTGCCGCTTTTGTGCAGACGCTTTTGCGAACAGGCAAAATATTCAACTTTTCCGCAATTCCCTAACAATGTTAGTTAGTTACACCGCAATTACAGACATTCTTCTCGTCAAGCGGCTACCGAGAACCATTTAAAGGCTGATCGCAGTACCGAGCAAATATTTCTGCATATTTCACCAGTACCCTTTTAAGTGGCTTCACTCACCATTACTTCGATTTTATTATGTTCTGAGTGTATCATTGCGGGAAAGTGGTGAGCTGAAACAAAGCAGAATTCGATTATCCCAGCTGGACTGGAAGTCTGAAGGACGGCGATTCTCTGCAGGAGATTTCGCTTTCCCGCAGGCCCTTATTTTGTATGATGTGCGAAAAATTGCGTTGAAAAAAAGTGGCAGAAAGATTTTTTACTCAAATTCATGCAATTGTTGGATCAACTGAAATCCGGAGGAGTCAAAAAAAGAGTCTGCAAACTCAGCTTAGCGTTCAAAAGTAGTTTTTGTTTTCTTCATCAAATTGGAACTTTTCGGGCGAATCCTTTCTTGAACCCTGCGCTTTTTACGTAAATATTTGGGCAAAATTCTGATTCTGGTTTCGCATTAAATAGGCTTTAAAGATGGTTTTTTTGCTTTATCAGTTTGATAAATTCTTATGCTATTACGCTAACGCTCCAATACCTATCCATTCAATGCACTTCCTTTATTAGCTTGGGAGATTTGAAAATTTATGTAGATTGAATTGGCCAAAGAAGAGCACATTTCAAGAGGGCAAACACCGCACTGGACAGTGATGAATTCGTTTTGCTGTTATTTATTTTCGGTGTTGTTTTGAATTTTCCAGCACGTCTTAGAGATTCCATCTGAACAGCTCAACTGCTGAGGCCATATATTGAATTTTGCCCATATTTCGTGCATCGCTTTGTGTATTTGCCAGTAGTTATTTTGGTCAAGTTGAAAAACTTGAAAAACAACGCAATCGTCTACTGTCCAGCCACATTGTGCCGGCTAATATGTGTGGAAAAATAGCCCATAGGAAAGCCGAAAAGAAAAATGATTTTCTTGCTTTTATTGCCCATTTTCCTGGGAAGATAAATACTTCTAATTTGTTTTTCTGTTATCTGGCGCAGAAGACCAAAGGGGATAGTCAGACACGTCCACTATTCAATTTCCGGCGATTTATTAGATTATCGGCAAATATTACAATCTTTATGTCTTTTATTTGCTTGCGATTGACACTGCTGGACTATTAGCTCTACAACCTAATCAAATAAATTAACTGTAGCTGATTTATCGAATAACACAACCGAACAAGCAACCAGCCAGCCTTTGGCAAGTTGCATATATCACACAAATATTAACTGGGGCTAAAATACCAAAAAAACTCGTTTCTTAGTTGAGTGGTTTCCATTGAACTATCACTCTTTTGTCATCCGGAGCCAATCCGAAGGGTTTGGTTCCATCGCTGGCCACGTATTGGTTCACTTGATAGGTCAGCATGTTTTGGTACTTGTAAACGTCGGTTCCCAGTTGCTAAAACGTAAAAAGTTTCAGGTTTTTCGGGGTTTTTTTGCGTTGGAAACTCACCTGGGTCAAAGGGCTGGTGTTAGTGGTGAATATTCCCGCAAATCCTCTGCTTTTGGCCAGTCGCTGCACTTCTTCTTCCATAAACTGGAAAACCGCAACGTTTTCTTTGGGCGTCAATGACGAATGAGTGGCCATCATAAACGAGTGTAGGATTGTGCCTTTTCCAGCTGGAAGTTGCTGGTCTCTAATGGAAAAATAAAAATTGTTGCCGTTGTTCTTCAATTTTTTACAAGTTTCTTGAACAAATGGGTACGAAGATTTTCTAGAGAATTAATGGTGAGGCAGCGAAGGGTGGTGATTGCCTCAATAGTTCTTGGCCTATTTCAATCCTGACTTCCTTTTATTGAAAT